GCCAGAGAGAAAAAATATGCCACACAGATGATCAATAAAGAAAAAGTGATTTACTCTTCGCAATACATAGGAACATATTTACAGCCATGAGATCAGTTACATTGACTCACACAATGTCCTTTTTGAGAGAGATATAAATAGTCTTTTGGTGTCCATGTGGAGAATCTCCTTCCAGCAGCTCATGAAGCAAGAACTGACTCACTCTCTCTCTGCCAGCACATACACAACTCAAGCCTAAATATGAAACTGTTGCCAAAACTCCTGGGATCAGCTAGGTCCTTGGGTGTGGCCCAACCAATCAGCTTCCTGCTTTGCATTTTACAGCTAACACACTCACGAACTGATTTCTTATATGCCCCAACATAGTCTACTGGTTAAAGGTCAACAGATCTCCAATAGATGTCTCAGGATGTGTCTACACTGCAGAATTAATACAGTTTGGCACCACTTTAAATGCTATGGAATAATAGGAGTTGTAGTTTTTAAGGCCTCTACTCTTCACCACCAAATAGTGCTTATGCCTCACTAAGCCACAGCTCCTAATGAGCCATGGCAGTCAAAATGGGCTCAAACTGCATTAATAGTGTAGATGCACCCTAGGTAGTTGCTGGACCAGTAAAACATTGTCATAAAGCAGGAACAATAAAAGGCTTTTGTCTGTGTAGCTGCACTGAAAACTAGTATTTTAATATTGGCAGATGCCAAGGAAAACATTGTTCCTGTTCAAACCAGTGTTAATTATTACAATCCTTAATTGGCTAGAACCAAATCTCTCTATCTCTCTCACACGCAGACATAGTACATAGACTTCTATCCCACTTTTTCCTGTTGTATTTGCCCCACTACCACTCTACCTGACAACTGACAATCACATATCTCTTTATACAGCAAACCTGCATAACCAGCAATGCATTGCAGAACAAGATTCCCCATGCCGTTTTGTCTCTGGCCTTAGAGAAACTTCCATGATTTTAAATCTGGATTTCTTGTTCAGACCTCACAGCTGTTAAACTAATGCTGTTACTCATGATGCTGTAAGAACTGAGCAGACAAGAGGCATTACCATCTGCTGGCAGGGCCAGATTATCAATGCTGCCACTGATACAATTGTTCCTAATCCCTTACAGGCTAATGCTAATGGGAAATAGTGCCTCTTGGCTCCTTAAGTCATTCAACGAATCTCCCATTGTTTGTGTGCATTGCACAATTGAGGAAAGTGGACAGGAACAGCCTATGACTCTCACTGACATTGTTGGAATCTAGTCACACATGAAGATTCTTCTGGTGATAGCTACTGTACTTTACATTTTATTAAATACTCATTTCTTTAATGTAGGTGTTCACAGTAATAATCTGATGACTACAACTAAAGCATCACTTAAATACATCAGTGGGCTAGCACTGATGTATTTTCCAAACATTTAATGTTGGTGATATATTTTTAGACATGTATCATTTCGCAACACAGCAATTCAGTTTTACTAGCAAACTAGAGGTTAACCCAGGCATGGGCAAACTTTGGCTCTCCAGGTGTTTTGAACTTCAACTCCCACAATTCCTAACAGCTTGGAGGTTGAAGTCCAAAAAATCCTAGAGGGCCGAAGTTTGCCCATGCCTGGAACTAATCCCATATAAGAGATGTGAACACGTTCATCAAGTTTAATAAGCTTTTAATAGATAGAACCGTCATCAAACATCCCATCCAATACATTGGCTTTGATATCAGCATAAACTTGAAAGCACTTTCTCCTCCATGGCAGAATCTCTTCTATTCACAGGTCTTCCTACTGTATGTGTTTGACATCATAAGACATTTATTTTCCCAACTGGTGCCATTCCTTTTCTATGGAATCAGTCTGAACCTTGGCAAGAGGAATGCTAGCCTCGAACCACCATTCCTCATCCACTGGACAGTAACGAGAAAAGAATACATGAAGCTTCCTTTCTCCTTCTGTGCTAAATAAATATCTCTGCATGCCTCAGATTGCGAAAAGCAAGAAAGACTTTTTTCAATGAAGAAAGAAGGAACTTCAGCAGTTCTCTTTGGAAAGTCCCTGACCCCAAGCAGATTTTGTAAAAACAGACTTTCTATTTTTGCAATTGGCTCACACTGTTGTGTCAAATGCTACTAGTCAACTCTCCACATTTGCAGATTTGTCTTTTACTGATTTACTTATTAGTGGAATGGATTTAGGTGGTTTTTTAAAAATCCCTTTTTGGTCAACCCTGGAAAAGGCAAATATTTCCAGACATAAGGTAGTTCAATGCTATGTGATACTGCCATGTATCATTTCACTAAGATTCTGTGGTTCTATGATTCTATGACGCTAAGGCAGGCATGGGCAAACTTCGACCCTCCAGGTGTTTTGGACTGCAATTCCCACAATTCCTAACAGCCTAGGAATTCTAGGAGTTGGAAGTCCAAAACACCTGGAGGGGACAAGTTTGCCCATGCCTGCGGTAAACCCCGGAAAAGGCAAAGATTTTCAGACATAAGGTAGTTCAATGTAATGTGATACCGTCTTATGCCATTTCACTAACGATGTATGAGTCTAGGTCTCCATGTAAGTTTTGAAAGTGAGGGTGCATCCACACTATGGCCATCCAGCCTCTGTTTAAAAGCTTCCAAAGAGGGAGTCTCCACCACACTCCGAGGCAGAGAGTTCCACTGCTGAACGGCTCTCACAGTCAGGACATTCTTCCTCATGTTCAGATGGAATCTCCTTTCTTGTAGTTTGAAGCCGTTGTTCCGCGTCCTAGTCTCCAGGGAAGCAGAAAACAAGCTTGCTCCCTCCTCCTTGTGACTTCCTCTCACATATTTATACATGGCTATCATATCTCCTCTCAGCCTTCTCTTCTTCAGGGTAAACATGCCCAGCTCCTTAAGCCGCTCCTGATAGGGCTTGTTCTCCAGACCCTTGATCATTACTCTTACATTCCTTCTGTATTATCTGTCTCCGGCCTGGCTTACATTAGCTAAGACTCTCTTGCGCAAACAGCACTCTCGAAGGAGTGATGCGACATCTCCGTAACGCTCTCAGCTTTCTGACCCAGCCATCATACTATTACCCAGTTTGACCCAACTTAATATAGTTCAATACTATGGGATTTGTGATTACTTGATGGGCAAACTTGGACCCTCCAGGTGTTTTGGACCTCAACTCCCACAATTCCTAACAGCCTACCGGCTGTTAGGAATTGTGGGAGCTGATGTCCAACAACTGGAGGGCCCACGTTTGCCCATTCCTGGCGTTAAGAATTGTGGGAGTTGAGAGTCCAGAACCTGGGGGCAACGTTGCCCATCCCGGCTTTGGACATTGGGTGCAGTTAGGCCAAAACAACCTGTGCTGGGTCCAAGTTTCCCATCCAGGCTATGGATTTGTTGGTTGAGGCAAAAACA